TATAGTAATTCATTCCCCATATAGTAAGTCCCCCATATAGTAATTCATTCCCCATATAGTAAGTCCCCCATATAGTAATTCATCCCCCATATAGTAAGTCCCCCATATAGTAATTCATTCCCCATATAGTAAGTCCTCCATATAGTAATTCATTCCCCATATAGTAAGTCCTCCATATAGTAATTCATTCCCCATATAGTAAGTCCCCCATATAGTAATTCATTCCCCATATAGTAAGTCCTCCATATAGTAATTCATTCCCCATATAGTAAGTCCTCCATATAGTAATTAATTCCCCATATAGTAAGTCCCCCATATAGTAATTCATTCCCCATATAGTAAGTCCCCCATATAGTAAGTCCCCATATAGTAAGTCCCCCATATAGTAAGTCCCCCATATAGTAAGTCCCCCATATAGTAAGTCCCCCCTGTGTCAATTCACTTACCTTTGGTCCGCGCGTTCCTCTCGTATTCCCGCGCCGTTCTGGTCTTCAGGGAGGACTGTGAGAGGAGTTCGTCACGCTGCCCCGCCTACATCCTGGCTGCCCCGCCTACATCCTGACAGCTGCAGAGTCCTGACGTCCGAGAGGAGGGAGGGGGGCGGCCATCCGAGAGGGGGGGCGGCCATCCGAGAGGAGAGGAGGGGAGGAGAGGAGGGAGGGGAGAGGAGGAGAGGAGGGAGGGGAGCGGGCGCCCGGCACACAGGAGAGCCGCATCTAAATTTGTAAAGAGCCGCGGCTTGCCGACCACTGGCCTTGCGGGAGCCTAGCTCCGCGGGCCGGATTAAAAGGTCCGCCGGGCCGTATACGGCCCGCGGGCCGTAGTTTGCCCATTGCTGTTCTAGAACAACGGGAAAAATTGTGCTGTCTGAATTCAAACAAAGATAAATCCATCACCAGCACACCATTGGTTGGACATCAGTATGTTTTCTTCACATGCATAGACTCTGTCCCAACAATTTACATCATTTCTTTCCTATGTAGGGTTCCTTTATCACCACACTTTGCAGAGGGAGATTGATGTGCTGCATTGCTTCCACATATATGTGCAGATATATGCAAGTGGAGAATCTGTTTTTACGAAGGTGATTTAACTAGGCCACTCTGCATACTAATTAGGGCTGGCTGCTGGGCAGTGTTAGTCTAATGCCCTTCTGGGGCCTGATTTATTATGTGATTCTGTGGACTTGAAAAATATATCATCTTCACATGGCTGGATGTGTGCAGTGAATACAGGCTCACTTTAACTCCTTTTCCACATGGCTAAATCAGGCCCAGCTCTCTTTATATCGCTTCAAAGCAAATCACACATTTTTAAATCCAGCTCTTCACATATTACCCTTCCCATTTGTACTCCCTTGATAATTATACATTACCGTCTTTAATAAATGAACATATTACACAAACAGCAATTAATGTTTGTGGAGCATCCCTAGTTTTATTGAGTAGTCTTAAGATTTATAAGTTGCTGGTCATATCATAGCAATGCAATATGTAGGCATAGTTTTTACGGTCAGTTTGTTGCCAATTAACCCTTCTCTGCTCCCACCTTTTATCTCACCCCCTCCCCAGCTCCAGTGGGCGCTGGAAGAGTGCGGTAACTGACAGTCACTGCTCTCTGCACCAAGCCAACTGAGAAATGAGCGATCAGCGGTCATGTGATTGGCCAGTTTTCTAACATGGAACAGCTGTAGCATCACACTGATGCTGCTGAATGAAGGTGAATATGTGGGGTTTTATTTTCTTCATAAGCTTCTACTTTTGCGCATGCGCAGTAGGAAAACAGCCGCAAGGCTTCACTTAGTCAAGATGGCGGCACCAGAATCCGATTTAATTAACATTCACAGAGGTCCGGTCAGTAAATTTTTTATTCATTAGGGGTCCGAGTCTCATATTGTGCCATATCTTTCATATTATAGCCCTCTCCTTTTACAATATAGCACCCCTTTACTTTATAGCACCCCTTTATAATACATCATTCTTTACAATACAGCCCCCCTTTACGTCACAGTCCCCCCATATACATGACCGTGTCCCCATTATAACACAGGCCCCCTTTGCATTACAGTGTCTCCTTTCCTTCAGTGTCCCCAGTCCTCCACATCACAGCCCCCTCCCCTTTTATTTGCCTCCCATTCCCCTTCACAGCTCCCTCTTTCTTGTATCCCAGTCCCCTTCATAGCCACCCCCCCCTTTCCTTGCTTCTAAGTCCCTTTCACAGCCCCCCTTTCTTGTATCCCAGTCTCCTTCACAGCCCCTCTTTCTGGTATACCAGTCCCCTTCATAGCCACCCCCCTTTCCTTGTATCCAAGTCTCCTTCACAGCCCCCTTTCTTGTATCCCAGTCCCCTTTATAGCCACCCCCTCTTTCCTTGCATCGAAGTCCCTTTCACAGCCCTCCTTTCTTGTATCCCAGTCTCCTTCACAGACCTTCTTTCTGGTATACCAGTCCCCTTCATAGCCACCCCCCTTTCCTTGTATCCAAGTCTCCTTCACAGCCCCCTTTCTTGTATCCCAGTCCCCTTCATAGCCACCCCCTCTTTCCTTGCATCGAAGTCCCTTTCACAGCCCCCCTTTCTTGTATTCCAGTCTCTTTCACAGCCCCTCTTTCTGGTATACCAGTCCCCTTCATAGCCACCCCCTATTTCCTTGTATCCAAGTCTCCTTCACAGCCCCTTTCTTGTATCCAAGTCTCCTGCACAGCCCTCCCCCCTTTCCATGTATACTAGTTCCCTTCACAACCCCCCCCCCTTTTCTTATATACCAGTCCCTTCACAAACTCCCTTTCTTGTTTCCAAGTTCTTTTCAAAGCCCCCCTTCTGTACATTCCCCAGTCCACTTTACATAAAAGCCCTCTAACTGACGTCCCATTTCTCCCTTCCATTCACAGTCTCTCTATAACCCTGCTAATCCTAACTTGCACGGCGGTTGGTGGGTGGGCTTGTCTGGATGGGGGCGGGACTTCTAAGCTTTTCCTGTTGGTGGGCAGGTGATTGCTGGGATTGCATCATGTCCTGACAGTATAAATGGTATTTAACACCACATGTCCTGACAGTAAGTCTGTGGTTTGTGAGCTACCATTGGTCCCACCCTCTGGCGTACCGCACCTTCTGCCTGCCAGGGATGAAGGCTGGGGCGGCAGCGGGAGAAGGAGGATTTCAGCTGGGAGAAGAACCATGGTGGCAAAACCATGGTCCGGATAGGACTGTCTTTTGGTCCGGGTTCGGACCACGGTCCGCCATTTAGTGACGACTGCGTTAGTCAGTTGAACAGTCAGCTCCGTTGAGGACACTGCTGTATGCCTGGACAGCTAAGTTCCCTAATATTAAAAGTCAGCAACTACAGTATTTGTAGCTGCTTACTTCTAATTTTTTTTGGGGGTGGGTGCTGGAACTCCTCTTTAAGTAGATGATACTGCAACCAGTGTCAGTACAAATCTAAAAGAAATGTATACATGTTTAAGCTCCCTAAGGCTGCTTTCACACTGATCCGTTTTTTTTTACGCTTTTGCATTTAAAAGCGGAAGAAAAAGGTATGATGATGTATTTCAATGGAATACTTTGCACTGCTCCATTGCAGGTCAGGTCCATTTTGTTTTTGTTTTTAAATCCTGCTAGCTGCATTTTTGTTGCAGGTTTGGTGCGGTAAAAATACCACACTAAAATTGCACGTCCCCATTGAAATCAATGGAAAACATGGCAAAACACACGTCCTATAAAAACGCACCTTTTTGTCAAAAAAAAAATGTCTGCCTCAAATGCACCATGTTAAACAATACTTGGACTCACCGAAAATGGTCAGCAAAGTCCACAGTGGCAGAGACAATTGGTCTGTCCTATTATTTTACATTTTCTTCTTAATGCCACTCTGTAGGGGTTTGTCACAAAACCGACTTCCTATCTGATCTCTGTGAGACACTGAAGGATGGTGCTGCTTGAATGGGAACATGTGGCATCCTTGTACATGTGGCCCATTCTGAAGTGCCACGGCACCCCCCAGTTCGAGAATTGCTGCTTTGAATACACTGGTGAAAGTGGAAACAACAACACTTGTAGTATAGGTGTCATGCACATGCTTAAAATATATGTAAACGCTCACCTTGTAAAACAACCCCATAGAAATGAAAAGCAAAAGATTTGCATAGAGATAAAAAAAAAAATAAATACCTTTTTTTATTTATTTTTTTATTTTCTAAATAAGTGATCATATACCCTCTATTCTCAGCTGCATAAGGAATTTACAGAGCTGTGGAAGGAGAAGCAGCAGCACACTAGTGTTCCCAGTGAATGGCTGTGCAAGGATGAGGGGGGGTGGAATAGAATGTGGTAAATTTGTATTAGGAAAGCAGAGAAACTGGAATGAACAGCAAGCCTTTCACAAAAAAAGAAAAAAAAAAAAAGAACCATTACAAAGAGAACGGGATGCTTTTTCTTACAAATACATGGACCAGCAGGAACATATTGGGAATATGAAATGTTGGGTTGACATATGCATTAATACCGTCTATCAGTTGTATTTTGTAAGAAATACAAGATTAAATGTGTCCTCTCCCACAGGCAGCGTGATAACCTGAGAGAGCTTTAGAACCAAATGTGTTCTTGGTGCAGGGAACTGTCTGGCCCAGCAGAAAGACCTGAACACCCTCTTATAGCACTTAAGTGTAGAAAGTCTTAGAAATCATTTAATGGGTACTCTATGACTTTTCAGTCATAACAGATAAATGCTATAAAACAGCCTGCTATCTCTAGACCTGTATTTTCCAATATTGTTTTATAGTCATATAAAATAAAGCATAAATTACAAGGTAGATTCTCTAACAGCTTATCTCCTGTTGTGACAAGAACGTCTGTGGTGAGGAAAGCAATTCTGTAGGGAACGGTTTTGAAGGCCATTCAGAAACTCAAAAAAAAAAAAAAAAAATTCAGATGGTATCATGAAATCAGAAGTTGTAAAAATAATCCTTGCAGCAACCTTGATTTTATATAGCTTTTTAATGTTCTAGGTGGACCTTTTCCAGTTGCAAGTAAACACATTAAGAAGATATAAGAGGCATTTCAAATTGCAAGCAAGGCCTGGACTGAATAAAGCACAGCTTGTTGAAGTAAGTTTACTGTTTGTGCATTGGAGATGTGGAAGTATACTGACAGGTGCATAGTATATTTGTATTATTGGAAGAATTGTCATTATATTTTTATTGGCCTTTGTCCTTGTGACATTACAGGTTTATTTAACAAAAGCAAAAAAGCTGTAATATGAAGTAACCCGTATAAGCTAGAGTAAGAATGGATTAATCACTTGACACCCGCTCACATATACTGCGAGCTGGCGGCAGGTGCAGGCTCGGCTAATGTAAAAATACTTTGCTGGTTTTCTTCTGGGTTTAGGGTATGCGTGCTCATGCCCCCTTCTGTGCACTGCCATTGGACACAGCATGATTTTGTTAGCAGTTTCAGCCAATGATTTATGGCTGATACCAGCTGCTCAGCTACTGTATGTCCAATCACAGAACAGAGTCCTGTGTTTACCACATCAGAGGCAGTTTTATTGTGGGTGGACCAGCCTTTCTCAACCAAGGTTCCTTCTAACAAATACAAGGACTAAAAAAAGATTAACCAAGGGCCTGAACAACTGATATAGAAGGGATTAAATTCAAGATCACCCAGTATTATTGGCTACCATATGATCGCTGAAAGTTAATGGACGTGGTCACCAAAACTCATACTCAATACGTATGGGCATAGGGAAAAGCATTCCCCGAACAAAGATCGTTTCATGTGGGACCATGCAGCTTTATCAAAGGGCTTTTATTAGAAAAAACAAAACAAATGTGCATTGCACAAATATACACAAAAAAGCTGAGCACACTACCACCATAACTTCACCAAACTAAAAAGACAATGTTGTCTCGTCACCTTAGCAGCTGCTCATACAACCTCCAACATACACACTAAGGGGAAGGGGGCGGGAAAGGCTAAAGGTGCAACTTGGGAACATATGGGGCAAGAACCATGTATGGAATGTAAGAGTCGGATGATTGTCATTCAGTAATGTCCCATATAGTAGAGATAGGAGTCAGGTAGAAGACCGGTTGTCCCATAACTATATATAATGAATAATAATCGGACGCCTGAGAATTCAATTACATTTGCAAGTGAGGCTTGCCGGTCATAATCTGGATATGAAGGTTCCTTCAGCAGTGAGCAATAACATACTGATCTGCCTACACTCGCCACCAGAGCAAGGAGGCATGTTTACATTGACCATGGACATAATTTTTGTTTTTTTTTTTTTTTTTTTTTTTCCTACCATTTATTACTGAAAATAATTTACTAGCAGAATGTAGGGATATAAAATATATGTGTGTGTGTGTGTGTGTGTGTGTGTCCTGGATGTCAAATGAAACATGTATGCCACAGTATTTCTTCATTTAAAATTTTCTACCATGTACTCAAAAGTTAATGTACAGCTGTAGGTATACTCCCTTTTAGCAAGTGTTCCCTCATACTTGAAAATTATTTCCAGAATTCCTCTGGGGAAAAAAGGTTGAGAAAGACTTGGCTAAACTATTAAAAAAAGTGAAAAACTTAGCAACTCTGGCAGGTTTAATTGCTGTATGTGCCTTCCTTGCCATGGTGTCACAATGATAGTGTGGGGTCACATAAAACAAGGTGGGTCAAACCGTTTTGCTCTCAACTCAAAACTTAAAAGAATTGTTCTAACTGGAAATGGGCTTTAACAGGGCGCACTGAATACGTTTTTGTTGTGGACAAATAGAAAAAATTAATTTGATTGTATTGGTACCATTTGGCTTATTGTTGAATATGAAAAAAATTCTCGTCAAGGCTATTTATTTTATCTATTTTTCACGGTGTCAAATGTACTTATTTCTGTATGTTACTGTTTTGTTGTTTAGATCATCGGAGGCCATTTCAGAACACTCCCAGTGAATGAAAAGGACACACTAACATATTTCATCTGCTCGGTGAAGAATGAAAAAAAAAAAACAAAGCAGATCACAAATCTGATGGGGGACTCCACTAGTGAAAATGGACATTTTATGGACAGTTTTGGGTTTGCTCAAGGCCTTGGAATGGAAGGACAGTTGTAAATAAAATTCAGTGTTATTTTAGTGATTTCTGTGGAAAAGTTATTTTGTTGTTTCATCTAAAAATGTTTCTCTACTTCCTAAGCCTGTAATTGAGAAATGTCACTTTTTTGTGACCTATAATTTACCATAAACCTGGTTTATATGAGCTGGTGGGCAGTAATTTAATACACTATTAAGGTGGAACTTAAAGCTATAGGCAAAACTTTTTTTTTTTTTTTTTCTGTTTGGATAGAGTAAAAGAGAGTCATAACCCCAGACAGATTTTTTTGCGTCATCTGGGTCACATTGTGGAGATTTTCCTTCACTTCCATAGCCAAAATGGGAAGTGAGAAGAAATCCCTGCAGATTAAGGGAATTCCTTGGGGCCCCCTAGGTCATCAGAACAAGTGCCCACGTTGTAAGATGTCCCCTCTATTACTTTTCTGGGGACAGCCCAACACTTGGGATTTTTTTTTACTGTCACTTTCAATGATAATGATGAACAGGATAAATCGAGATGCTGAACCTCCCTAACAAGGGCACAAAAAGCAATAAAAAAAACCTTACAGGTGTTCTAATCCATCTCCACTGTGTCCAAAACAAAGCAGAAAAAAAGTTTTGCTTCATACATATATTTTAACTTTACAAATGTGTATAATTTACATCTGGGACATATGTTGCTGGTCCTTATGTAGGAACAGTATCTGTGCCATCATGCCATTTCTCTTGCTATTCCATCTAACAGTACCTGAGAGGCTGTCGTAGGCAGTTTTTAGCTCCCTCTCCTATACCATGGCTGGCTCACAATCCTTAGATAGTAGCTGTGAAACTGTTAAAAAAAAAACAAAAACTTTACTTTTAGAAGGCAGATCTACAATTCCCGTCTACCAAATATTCCTAAACCCATTGCAATTTCTTCATTCTCTAAGGCCGAAAATATTTTTTTACTGACCGTTTACTTTTATAGCATAGATCTGTCAGCCAACAGCAAAAATAGTAATTCCAGCCAACTGGCAAAGAGAAGATTTTTATCCAGGCAGACCTCTGAGGATAAAGGTGTTCTGTAGAAAGTTTCACAGCTGTTATCTAGAGCTTTCTAGATGCCCCTTTCGCACCTGAGCATTCTGAAGCATTGTTTGAAGCTTCACTAAAAGCACTTGAACACTCAACACTAGGATTTCCATTCTATTCAATAGTGCCTGTTTGCAGCTGAGTGTAGTAGTGCTTAAAGCTCATTGCTTAAAACCTCTGTTGGGCAGAGTTGTATTTTAGCCCTAATAGACTTCAAAGAGAACACTTGGGAAACAGGCATTACTTGCATTTTGCAGGTTCTATCTTGACTAGTAACTAGCTTTTCATTGGCTAAAAATAATAATAATACAAAAAATATAAACACCGAAGCCTGAAATGTGGAAAAATGCTCAAAATGCATGTACAAAAGCTCTCTGGCCCCATTCACATTCGGGACTTTGGTCATTTTTTGTGTAGTGACATGAAATAAGGAGCAAAAGGAAACTTACAACAGCCCCTGTACACAGGTACTGTTATATTGAACAGCAAAAAAGGATCATTTTCCTTTCATTTCCTGACTTTGTAGCACTTTTATACATTAGACCCACTTTATTCTACAGTGTATATATAGTGATAAAAGGCTGTGTTCAGACCAGCACATTGGAAGAGGGGATACAGATGTATAAAGATGTATCATAATGCTATTTCCAAAAGGACCTTTTGAAATATAATATTTTAATTTGGTTTAACATAGATAATTTCATTTTCTATTGAACTTTATTTGACCAAAAATGCTTATTTTCTGAGAACCAGATGACCGCCACTCTCAGCTAATAGTGTGAACTTAGGTAGTAGGGATGGCTTGCAATGGTTATTGTAGTGCTGACTCTCACCTAACCGTGAGGCCAGCTATTTCTTTGGAAAGGGTTAGCTATGTATAATGGAAAATTATAACTTGTTTTAACCTGATTGATGAACAAGGAGTGCGTGGCAGTATGGAGAGCTCGCAAGTGTTCCACAAGAGCTAACACAAGTTTGCTTCACAATAGCAGCCTAGGGATGTTGTAAAGCTACATTTTCAGCATGTGAAATGCAAGGCAGTATTTTATAGATTTGCCAGCACTGTGCTGCTACAAATCCCTTTGCATTAAAGCGGAACTAAACCGTCATCTTTTCCAGCCAAGGAAGCTGTCACCTTAGCACATGTTTGATCCCCAACTGCCATGATACTGCACATGTGATCAGTTATGACACCAGCCATTTGATGGTTTGAGAGATTGGTTGGGAGCACAAGCAAATGTGACAGCATTCCTAGCATGCAGGGAATGTATGTGTTTTTTAACACTGTTAAATCAATGGGTTTAGTTCCGCTTTAAGATGTGCCCTGCTTCTCCACAAAGTTTCAATGGGTTATTTTTATGTATGCATACATGAAGAACAGTTGTCGGAACTCTTGTTCCTACATCTTGTTCGTGGCGATCACATTTAATATGTGTGCCCCACAGTAAAACTGATTTATGGAAACTCAATTAAAAAGTAGACTTGTTTGAAGGCCCAACTGAGAGCTATTAGCAATTATTGCATGTATGCTCTGTTTTCCTAAATCAGCAGGGTTTGCCTCTAGGCAGTGTTTGTCAGAGTCATTTTATATATGATGGTGACAGGCATTCTGCTAATATAAATAGGAGTTAACTGGGGAGAAGAGGTTATGCCACCTGGTGTGGTCTTCAACAAGGCAAGGAGCAGTAATCCATATGAGACCTCATCTTTCATTTAGTTGACTGCACTTAACAGCTGAAATCTTACCGGTTGCTCTGGGTAATCGCACATCATGGTTGCTCATTGTACTGTAATATTTCTAGCATACTCTTTAAGGCACTTAAAACGAGAATAATGATGGTGTGTCATGTGCAGTTACCTGCAGAAGCCAATCAGGTGTGCTTATCTGACCACTGCAAAATGAAATTTTGTAAGTCACTGTGCTTTGCACATAATTGCTGCTCTTTACACTGCCTTATTAGACTATTTTATTTGTGTTTAGATGCAGCACATGCTTGCTGCACTTTTCGCAGGCAAGACTTCTTAAGTTAACACGTTTTAATTATCATTTCTGTATATGTATACAAATATATAAGGTGGCGGAAATTGACAACACCACACTCTCTCTGCACTATGTGTTTCAAATGCTGACAAAATATACTGTTAAATAATGCTATATGTGCATTTCCTACTATTGATGTTATGCCATGACTCATTTGAACAACTCACGCTTGAATAAATTTGCTTTCTTTAGGTTAGGACTTTTCATTTGGTGTATAGCATGTATTAATGCTATAGGTTGCACAGACCCACATATCGTATGATAGCCTTTAGAATTTGCACTTTCCTTTTCTGGGGATTTTTGTCACTTAAATATTGTTGGCATGTGTTGGTTAATGTTCGTGATTTAAGTCCCTGGATCAACCTGAATGTATAATATTGTGATGGCTTTAATAAAAAAAAAGTGTTACTGATCTTTGTTTTGTGATGCTAAATAATTTTTTTAAACATTATACATAAACAAAAGGACCCTTTCTCACAGAACTACGTAATGGCATTCATTTTGAATTTGCACCTCCACAAAGCACCTATGTTGCAGTGCCACCTCAACACACAGTAACACACTACTGTACAATGTGATGCACCTGCATCAACTAAAATTATAAAGGTAAATTTCCCTAAGGCATCTTTCAGGACAGCACCTCTGAGAGAAGGCTATTCCCCCTTTCCAGGAAATGCTGACACATCATACTTTAAAAGGAGTGTCTCTCCGCCAGCTGTGAATATCTAGTGTTTCCTTGTGGGGAGATACTGCAGGGAAACCTGTTGTGTGACTGTTCCTAGGGGCAGTCCAGTGTGTATTCATTATGGAAAGTCCATATATGGAACCAGATATGTATATATCTTCGGTATTCTTAATCTGTATCTTCTGCCTTTTTAGAGGTATCAAAGTAATTCCTTCCAATTCATCAAAATGCGGAGATACTGCAGGGAAACCTGTTGTGTGACTGTTCCTAGGGGCAGTCTGGTGTGTATTACCAATGATTAGGGTGGTTGCTGGGGGATCTAGCCTAGCTGTGATTGGTATACCCTATTTGCTGATTTCTCAGGGAGGATAAGGGCTACCTCTTTGTCAACAACCGCTTTCCCTCTGATGTGTGGGGGAAAGTTCTATAGATCTGCTCCCTTTTTTTTTTTTTTTTTTTTTTTTTTTTCAAGCCCAGGGAGGGTCTTTCCTGGAATTGGGGGTTGCTTCCCTGCTGGTGGGTGCAGTGTTAGCCTCATTGGCTGCTGATGTTGTGTGGCAAGCTCCTCTGTTCAGTCTTGGAGGGTGCAATGGCTCCCTCTTTACAGCTACAAAGGGGAACAGATCAGGCATGAGGCTGGTGCAAAGCTTCTGGAGACACAGTGGCGTGGGCAACTGGAGCCTTATGTAGCGGGACCCACTCATTTCTCGCTCCTACCAGTGATCTTCTAGGATGTCTGAGGAAGAGACCCCAGTCACCATGGCACCATGCACATCTAGCATCAGCCACTCCTAGTTACCTGATTCCTTCCTGTTCTTTCATGGCTTGGATAATCCCACTAATCTTTTTCCTTTTTGCCCTCTTGGTGATCAAAGGCCTGTACAAGACATTAGGGACTGTTGAATAGCTGTATCCTGCACACTGGGATAAGCATCTTAAGCACTGGCAGACGTGGGGGTGTAATTGGCAGTAGTTGATGAGGCTCTCCTGTTCTTTGTTTTTTTTTTTTTTTCAGGATAGAGCCCCAGAGAAAGCTAAGCCTCCTTCCAAGGGCCAAAAAAGGAAATACCCCTCCTTCAAGATTTTTAGAGTCCTGGACTAAGGCTTTATACAGAACATTGTGGGTCTGGTCAGAGGAGTCAGTGGCCCACTGTAGTGACTTTGTTGCATTAGTGAAACAAGAACGATCCACCACTTTTCAAGCATTCGGGTCCCTGACCTCCA